GGTTTCACCCTCTGGACCGTCGGGAGATATTGGCCTGTACCTGCTCCTTCCTGCTGGCTTCAGGGTGTATCATGGACATATAATATGCAGTTACTAGTCAAAACATTCTTCCACTTTGGTCGAGGTCCCCTCTCCTAGCACTGGATGGCCGGGCTCGATACGGCGTATGCTGTCAGAGGCCCTGAAACCCAACAGAAGAAGAAGAAGAATTGAACCTGTCAGCAGATGAGTCTATGAAAGACTAGATGAATCATAGAATTGATGAGGGGAAAAAGGTGAGTGGAGCACCGATGAGTCTGTTGAGACAAAGAACGTTATCCATGGAAGCAAAAAGAGGAATGTATGAGTGTGAAGCATGAGTAGTGACTATTGCAACAAAGGGAGTCTTGTGCCTTTTTTATATCATTAGATTAAACTCAGTTGTACTATAGCTCATTCTAGCTCAATACATAGTCAATACCAAATTCATTATATTAGACCATAGTGTAATTACTAGTGAGAGTCTGGTGCTATTTTTAATTTGTATTTTTATATTATTAGATTAAACCTAGTTGTACTATAGCTCATTCTAGCTCAATACATAGACTATACCAAAGTCATTACATTAGACCTTAGTGCAATTACAAGTGAGAGTCTTGTGCTATTTTTAATTTGTATTTTTATATTATTAGTTTATACCTAGTTGTACTTTAGCTCATTCCAGCACAACACATAGACAACACCAACTCCATTATGTGTATTAGTGACTATACTCTACATGATCAAAATGCTATAGCTATACACTTGTCCAAACTTCCCACCACTACAGATATCAGTACTAAAACTCAACCCACAACTCAGGATATAAATAACCATAATTTAAACCTAGAAGATGATTGATCACGTTGACCCTGATCTAAACCTACATAATCTGACACACAATCAAAACCTATTGGAAAGTAACTGCCTTTACTACACAGCATCACAAGCCAGCACTATCCTAAACAATGCTAAAAGTCTATCAGTACTTAACTACAACATTAGGTCCTTAAGCAAACACTATGATGACCTCCTGGCACTCCTTGAATCACTAAAGACACCCTTCTCCTGTATTATTCTTACTGAGACCTGGCTTAAGCAGGACACAGTAGATATCTACCCTCTACCAGGATACACAGCAATCCACAACTGCAGACCATACCAAGTTGGGGTGGTATTGCAATCTATTACTCTAACCAGTTATCTTGTATTAGCACCACTTGCTTTAGTGATGAATATGAAGAATACATTTTTGCTAATTTTACTGTAAAAAACCTTAAGACGCCTATAACAATTGGTGCCATTTACCGGATACCCCACACTAACATCCCAAATTTCAGTGAGAAACTAAAGGCACTAATAACAAACAGACAAATGAATAAGCACCACCTTCTCTTAGCTGGAGACTTCAACATCAACCTTGGCCTACTAGATGATCAGCCTGTAACTGATTTCATCAACAATATGAACAACACACTTCTCATACCAACAATAACTAAACCAACCAGGCTCACTGAAACAAGTGCAACCATAATAGACCACATATGGACCAATATACTAGCCCCCCTTAAATCAGGGATAATCACAGATAGCACTACAGACCACTACCCTACCTTCCTCTTGACAAACATTAGTAAACCACCACTTGAATACAACAAAGTTTCATTTAGACTCCATGATGAGGCCTCAATAAGGAAGTTCACAGCTGACCTAGAGACTGTTGACTGGCCTACAGAATTCTCCAAGGCCAATGGTATTGATGACTGGACAGACATTTTTCTTAACAAATTACTTAGACTATACAAAAAACATTGTCCTATAAAAACGAAACAGATCACAAACGGCTTGGTTGCCCATGGCTAACCAGCACCATTCTGAAATCCATTGATAAGAAACACCAATATGAAAAGCAATATAGACAGGGCTTAATACACAAAGATATTCTTAAACACTATTCATCAGTCCTCACCAAAGTAATAAAGAAAGCCAAACAACTATACTACTCCAGTAGATTCACTGACACATGAGGAGATATAAAAAAGACCTGGAAAACACTCTTTCAGATTCTAGGGACCCACAAACTGAAAAAAACCAAGAATATTGCCCTAACTAAACCTAATGAAACACCACTGCATCCCACTGACACAGCTAACAAGATAAACGACTTCTTCTCAACCATAGGTTCTAATCTCGCCAATAAAATCCCACGCACCAATGCCCATGCCAGGGACTACCTAGATGGGAATTTCCCAAATTCCTTCTATCTTGCTCCAACTGAGCCCATGGAAGTCACCGAGATTATAAAGTCACTTAAAAATAACTCAGGGAATCTGTCTCATGTCCCACCATTATTGTACAAGAGAGCGGCCCATGTCCTCTCGCATGCTATCTCATTACTTTATAACAAGTCACTAGAAACTAGCACCTTCCCGAAACTACTCAAGACGGCAAGGGTTACACCAATACATAAAGGTGATGACCCTACAGATTTAAACAACTATAGGCCAATATCAAACTTACCATTGCTATCCAAAATCTTTGAGAAATTCTTGCACAGGAGACTATATTCATTTATAACGGCACAAAACATACTCAACCCCTGCCAATTTGGATTCAGGAAAAATAAAAGCACTAACGATGCAATCATAAAAATGCTAGATCTGCTTTACACAGCATTGGAAAATAAGGAATATCCACTAGGAATTTTTATTGACCTAAGAAAAGCTTTTGACACAGTAGACCACGGCATCCTACTCCACAAACTTGACCATTATGGTATAAGAGGCCATGCACTTGCATATTTCAAATCTTACCTTACTAAAAGGTATCAGTATGTCACCATTAAAGACACAGCATCAACAACACAGCCACTTGATACTGGAGTTCCGCAGGGAAGTGTCTTTGGTCCCCTGCTCTTCCTCATATACATCAATGATCTTCCAAACGTATCTCGACACCTGAACCCCATTCTCTTTGCTGACGGCACGACTTATGTCATCTCTCACCCTAATCTTGCCACCCTCAACACCATTGTTAATGAGGAACTGATCAAAATATCGACTTGGATGACAGCCAATAAACTTACACTTAACACTGACAAAACCTACTACATTATGTTTGGTAGCAGAGCAGGAGATGCGCAAATTAACATTAAGATCGACAACACTCTAATTGCCAGGCATAATGAGGGCAAATTCCTAGGCCTATACCTTGACAACAACCTGAACTTCAGCACCCATATCCAACACATAACCAAAAAAGTATCCAAAACGGTTGGGATCCTCTCCAAGATACGATACTACATGCCGCAAACTGCCCTTCTCACACTATACCATTCACTTATATATCCATACCTCACCTATGCTATCTGTGCTTGGGGTTCAACTGCAGCAACACACCTAAAGCCAATAATAACCCAACAAAAAGCTGCAGTAAGAATAATCACTAAATCCCATCCCTGGCAACACACCCCCCCACTCTTCATAGATCTAAACTTACTCCCTGTTCAGTACATCCACACTTACTACTGTGCAATCTACATCTACATGACCTTAAATTCCAATATTAACCTTGACCTAAAACGCTTTCTTGATAGTTGTGACAGAACCCACAGGCACAACACCAGACACAAACATCTCTATGACATTCCCCCTGTCCGACTAAACCTTTACAAAAATTCAATGTATGTCAAAGGCCCTAAAATCTGGAACACCCTACCTGAAAATTCTAAAACTGCAGACACATTCATCACCTTCAAAACTACCATCAGAAAACATCTTATCTCCCTGATACACCCTGTCAACTAATTACACGAATACCACCTGGTGGTTAACACTTACACCCCACTCACCCATTTGACCATAAACAGAAATATCAATCTCAATCTCAAAATAATGAATCTTAACTAGTCATAAGTTGGCCTGTGATACTCCAATACTGAAACTATGTATAGTGCCAAAACAAAAGCATTCACATTGCTAAACTCACAAACTAGTATTTAGTCACTTAGCCATAATACCAACTTACCTCATAATTTTGTAATATTTAACTTAAGATTTAATTTAAGTCTGCCCGAAATGCCTAGCCATGCTAGGTGTTCTAGTGGTACACTCTGTAATTATTATTTTACTACATGTAAACCACACAATAACCAAATTCTGTAAACTCAGCATTGTAATCCTTATAGAGAATAAACTTTGAATTGAATTGAATTTGAATTGAATTGAATTGAATTGAAGGAGAAGGCTGGAGGCAGTAGAGATGTCATATCTGAGGGCAGTGTGCAGTGTGAATATAATGCAGAGAATCCACAGCTTGAAGATTAGAAAAAGGTGCAAGGTTTTTAAAAGTATTATCCAGATTGCAGAGGAGGGGTTGTTGAGGTGGTTTGGATATTTACAGAGGATAGAACAAAATAGAATGATTTGGAGGACACATAAATCTGTAGTGCAAGGAAGGCGGGGTAGGGGTCGTATTACGAAAGGTTGGAGGGAAGGGGTAAAGGAGGTTTTTGTGTGTGAGGAGCTTGGAGTTCCAGCGAGTATGCGTGAGCATGTTAGATAGGAGCGAGTGGAGATGAATGATTTTTATGACGATGTGCTGTTGGAGTGTGAGTAAAGTAACATTTATGAAGGGATTCAGAGAAACGGGTTAGCCAGACTTGAGTCCTGGAGGTGGCAATTACAGTGACTGTGCTCTGAAGGAGGGGTGTTAGTATGTTGCAATTTTTTAACTGTAGTGTTGGCACGCCTCTGGCAAGACAGTGATGGGGTGAACGTTGATGAAAGTCTTTCTTCTTTTTTGGTGAGCTTGCCTTAGTGGGAAATAACCAATGTGTTAATATAAAAAATAATAATAATAATAAAGTAATATTAGTAATGGGTTTTGAGTTGTGCGGGATTTAGCCAAAATAAAGCTTCAATGCATAGTTTTTTTTTTTAAAGTTGGGACTATTCTCACCATTCATAAATTATTTTCCCAAGAGGTTGGAGACTGATTATCCACTTGGTGCCTCTTCACCTGATCTTGGAGGCTGAGTTGATTACCAGAAATGAGGAGAGAAGCCAACATATGGACATGGTGGCAGAGATAAGGAATAACTCAACAGGAGCAGCCTTAAAGTTCCACAGTCGGGATGTGACTACTATAAAGCCTCAAGAGTCCTCCTCTCAACGACGAGCAACAGTCAGAGAAGAGGATTTGCATGATAAACTTGCAGAATGTTTATCAATGAAAGAGACTGCAGCAAAACCAGTGCCAGAGGAGATCCAGACACTTAAACAAGTACTCACCAGCGATTTGCTCAATTTGAAGTCTAACATGACTGTATATGGTATAAATTTTAGTATTATGTTCCAAACTAAATATCTCATTTCAGCTGAACTTTTTTTAAGGCTATTTATCTTTTTCTGTTTAAATTTTGCACATAAAATAACTGAATAATATCTTATCATCGCTTTCCATACTTTCTTCATTCTCAATATTGTGGTTATTAGTCTGGTTGCCAAACTCATTTTTTTTGCCAAACCTGGAATTTTGTGGTGAAATAATTGTTTTCAGCAGTATTTTAGATTTTTAGTTGTCTAGACTGATAGTGTAATGGGTGCCACTGTCATCCTTGAAGAATTTGGAAAAAAAAAATCAGAATGGCTATCTAGGCAGTCCCCTATCATATCCAAATTTATGAAGATACATCTATCAACCTGAATGTTGAGTATTTTAAATAAATAAGTTTCCCAATTTATGCTTTACAGATCAGAAAAGATAATTTTTTTATGTTCTAACCATAATTGAAGGAATCAGTATGTGAGAATGCAAAATAGCTACTGGTTTAATACTGTTATTATTGGTAAACTAGTAGCCACTGGGCAAGGGCAATCAATAGTATACTGGTAATAATTGTCACATACTTCCCCATTTACAAATTTATAATAATTACTGTTGATCATATTGTATTATCCATCTGAGCGGCATCTGTAGGTAGTATGTACATAGTAAAATGTTTGGTTAATGTTCTCTGAATCTCACTTAAAATAAATGTATGCTCTTTGCAACTTAAATATTGTCTAGTTTACTGTTTTCCTCATGCAACCTATGACACTGAGCTTGACTCTATCATCATTACTGATTCTATGTCATCATTGAAGGCTCTTGACTCATATAATGACTCCAACAACATGCTCATTGGGGAAGCCAGGTATAGATACTCAAAAATTAGGGACAAAGGAATTAATGTACAATTGCTATGGATCCCATCACACATTGGATTACTCCTTCATGATAAAGTTGATATGTTAGCCAAGAAGAGTATCCAGAAGGAGAACGTAGAATATAACTTTGGTATAACTGTGTCTAGCATTAGGAATAATATTAGGAGAGAAGTAAATAATGAAGATGATTGTTATAGGAATGCAGTTAGAAGCCTGAGTAGATCTATAACCCACTATGATAACATTAACGTAGATAAGTATGTTTATGGAGCAACTTGCAATGTGAACAGACTGACTGATGTTGTAGTGGCCAGGCTTAGGCTTGGTTACAAGTACTTCTGGCAGTTTGGGAGACACACAGATGATGATCAAACTAAATGTAAATTATGTGATCAGGCATATGGTCACTCTCTTGAACACTATGTGCTTAATTGTCCACTTATTGAGGAATACAGAGACAGACAGTATAATAACCTATGTGACATGTCAAGATATCTTATTAATGAAAATAAGATACCAGATATACTAAGCAAATTTCCTAAATTTGCTTGTAACAGATAAGTGAACTATAGATATGTAGATATAAATCCATATGTATTCCTGTTAACCCTTTGGGGCCTAGTTCCTAGGCCTTTTGTGTATCCACATGCTCTCGCGCTACCGTCCACAGGATGGATATGGGGTGCACAATAAACTAGCCACTTTGGTGGCAAAATCTAATCTAATCCTCATGCCTGATGTAAAGGAAAGAGATTGTCTTAATGTCTGTAACCACTGCTTAAAGATGACAGCCATCCTGGGTATATGATTTACAAGAAATCATCATACCAGCATCCCTTTCAATGTTAAGAATACAATGGGTGACTTCTTTTACCTAAAAAATTTTATTAGCAATAAATTTGATGAAAATACTCAATGTTCATGTTGATTTATATGTCTTTTAATATTTATGGATGATAGGTGACAGAGTAGTACCCACAGGATTATCAGTCTAGACACCTCATATGTTCCATATCAGCTAGGAACAATTATGCACCATAAAATTCCAGGTTCACCCATCTTTCCACCAGAATATGTCCCTACAACATTTCATTCTAAACATACTGTCACCAAAACTCTTACATAGGGTGTCTTACTTATACAGTGACACCTGCAGGAAGCTACATAGTGAGGATCCATCAGATTGCTCAAATACCCTTCTGCCCTCCACTAGGCTGGTCGCTTAACCGTAAGTTTTTAATTTATTAATGTGTGTGAAATGCGAAAATTTATAAAGTAGAAAATGGATTCCTAAATGATGAGATAGGGGCAGAGTGCAATGGAAAAGGGAAAGTTAGAAGTCTTTAAGGATGGGACTTGAAACAGGAAGGAAATATGGGATTGATAAAGATAACTTGAAACAGAAGTGCTGGAACTACATTGACATAGCATTACATCATTCATTATTATATATTCCATTAACAGTTTTGTAGTTTCTCAAAATGTACTGAAATAAGTTTTAAAAGCACATAATAGATTTTTTCTTCCTTTTAAAATTATGCAGAGATATTCAACTTTTCTCATGACTTCTCTGGATGGGAGTATGTAGTGAGCCAGTGGGAGTGGGGCAACATGGTGGTGCAAGGCGAGTTTGGCTCCTCACCTCTAGAGTGGTACCAGAAGACCTTTGCCTTTTCACTTGACCAGGTAAGTAATAAGATGCCAGATGGTGATATTTTTTCTCCCCTCAGTAAAACTTTGGGTACTGTACTTCCATCAGGATTTATTATCTCATAAGGCATCTTGTGCTAGATTGCCAGGGTCATGAGGTCATTAAAAATACAAATATAACAGGTAATGGAATGCTGTCCATCTTAATATGAAACCAGTTAAAAAATATTTTGGAGGAAGTGACATTATAGCAAAGGGTTACTACCTGACAGTAGTTATGAATTTATGTCCATGACTTGTCCAAATGTGACTGTTAGTCTTAAGTATTGCAGTTTTGTAGTGCCCAACAAAGTCTTTAACTTGATGACTAACTCTTTTGTATGGGTCAGGCGGCACCCTTGCCTTCCACCCACATAATACTGGACTTCCGTGACTTCAGCAAGTTTATGTTGAAGGTTAGGTGGCCCACCTTAGCTACTAATCTTGCTGCCTCCCTCAACATGCAAGATGGCCACTACTTTCTGCAAGGTGAGTAATTTTAGTTAACTGTTTTGGTTATCTATACACTACCTAGTTTTGTTATCTTTAATGCATATATCTTATGTACCTTATTTGTTTAATGATTTTTCCTCTGTGGATTGGCCAAGGCAGTATACAACCTTGTAAAGTAAAAGGACACAAGTGCAACTAATGTGACATTTTTACGGTGGCAACGTTTCGCTCTCCAGGAGCTTTGTCAAGCCGTTACGGCTTGGAATAGGTGGTAGATTACTGAAAGCAGTGAAGAGATTTTATGAGGATAGTGAGGCTCAGGTTAGAGTATGTATGGGGGAGGGAGATTATTTCCAGTAAAAGTAGGCCTTAGACAAGGATGTGTGATGTCACCATGGTTGTTCAATATATTTATAGATGGGGTTGTAAGAGAAGTGAATGCTCGGGTGTTGGCAAGAGGTGTGGGGTTAAAAGATAAAGAATCTAACACAAAGTGGGAGTTGTCACAGTTGCTCTTTGCTGATGACACTGTGCTTTTGGGAGATTCTGAAGAGAAGTTGCAGAGGTTGGTGGATGATTTTGGTAAGGTATGTAAAAGAAGAAAATTAAAAGTGAATATAAGAAAGAGTAAGGTGATTAAGATAACAAAAAAATTAGGTGATGAAAGATTTAATATCAGATTGGAGGGAAAGAGTATGGAGGAGGTGAATGTATTCAGTTATTTAGGTGTGGACATGTCAGCAAATGGGTCTATGAAAGATGAGGTGAATCATAGAATTGATAAGGGAAAAAGGTGAGTGGTACACTGAGTCTGTGGAGACAAAGACCTTTGTCCATGGAAGCAATAAGGGGAATGTATAATTTTTATAATAATAATATTTTATTATGACATGATACATAATTGTACAAGGTATTATAGTAGTTGGATGTACATGTCAAAAGCCCCTTGTATGCAGAGAATTATGGGCAGGTTTAAAATTAACTTAAGATTATATAAGCTATATTAGATTTAATGGTAACAGTTACAGTAAACAATTTACAATATCAAGTACAATTGAGTATTTTAAACAATGAAATTTGAACATTTCAGTTTTGAAGCATTATAGTTTTACAATTTTGTAACTACAACTATTTTGAAAGTATGGTTATACCAATGCTCTTATATGGGTGTGAAACATGGATGGACAATGTTGCAACAAGGAGAAGGCTGGAGGCATTGGAGATGTCATGTCTGAGGGCTCTGTGTGGTGTGAATATAATGCAGAGAGTTTGTAGCTTGGAAATTAGGAGGAAGTGCGGGATTACCAAAACTACAGTATTATCCAGAGACAGAATGACTTTGTGAGTGTATAAATCTGTAGTGAAGGGAAGGCAGGGTAGAGGTCAGCCTAGGAAAGGTTGGAGGAAGGGGGTAAAGGAGATTTTGTGTGCCAGGGGCTTTGACTTCCAGCAAGCATGCGTGAGCGTTAGGAACAAATGGAGACAAATGGTTTTTAGGACTTGACGTACTGTTGGAGTGTGAGCAAGGTAACATTTATGGAGTCAGGGAAACTGGCAGGCCAGACTTGAGTCCTGGAGATGGAAAGTACAGTGTCTGCACTCTGAAGGAGGGGTATTAATGTTGCAGTTTTATAACTGTAGTTTAAGTGCACCTCTGGCAAGGCAGTGATGGAGTAAATGATGATGAGTCTTTCTTTTTTGGGCCACCCTGCCTTGGTGAGAGAAGGCCGATGTGTTAATAAACAAAAATAGTAGTTTGGGTATCCCATCCCCAATGGTTGCTTGAAGTGTGGTCTAAGTCTTATCTATGTGACATAATACTTTATCAAACCCCTCAATTGTTGCAGTATATCACCATGGCTTATCATGTATTTGTATCCCAGTTAAGAAGGTGGATGAGTTCCAAGGTGAGGAGGCAGGGGATGTGCTGGTGTGGGTGCAGGGAGAAGAGACTAGAGAAGGATCACTGGTGGTGTCTTGGAACTTAGACACAGACAAGATCCTTGCCTTGCTCACCAGTGCTGTCACCCTCCTAAATCAGGTCTGGATCATTTATTTGGTCTAACTACTGCATTGACAATTTAGTAGCTGCCTCAGATTTAATGTTATATTTGTATTTAGGCCAGGTACAGCTCAGGAAACACTGTAGTTGAAATACTGTATTTCTGAATAATCCAAGGACTCTATATAGGATGACACAGTAGTAAATTTAAATAAATCTTGCAGTTTAATAACATAACAGTAAAAATGTATCTCTGAATAACAAAATGCTACAGTTGCTGTGACCATATACATTCCTATAAATCCACAAAATATTTCAGCAAGTTCTGCATTGAATGAACCTTAGGGATTAGACAACTGTTGTGGGTTATATCCTGGGAAAGAGTACCAAAGAAAGTAACCTTGCTGTTTTTCTTTCTTAGTTATCTTGTGTAGCCCAATGTGGTTAATAATCCAAAGTCTCATAAATAAGAAATTTGAGTAATTGTTGATGATACTTGTTGTGCAGGCCACATCCCACCCAGGTATGTGTGGAGATACACTTGACAAGCACACATTCAGTCAGGCCCTACAGAAGCTACTGGGGCAGAATCCTGCTTGCCTCTGGGAAAAACTACTGCTACAGGTCAGTTGGTAATACTCATAATGTTTGCCACAGTATTGTAGACTACTTACTGTAACTGGAATCTTAATATGTTGGTTTATTGAAAGCTTCACACTGATTTTGTGTTTTGTAAGTTTTTAATTTGTCAATTTTATTAAGGAAATTTATTTCTGTGCAGTACTAGAGAATACCTCTTTTGATAGGCTTCAAATTTTCTTTGCTAGTGTATCTACTTAGAGAAAGATTTGAATTAATTTTATGCTCTATAGTTGCCAGTTTTCTTCTTATTTTTAATAAGCTGTACAGGAGAAGGGGTTACTAGCTCATTGCTCCTGGCATTTTAGTTCACTTTTACAACACTCATGGCTTATGGAGAAAAGATTCAATTCCACTTCCCCATGGATATGAAAGGAAAAGTAATAAGAACAAGAACTATTAAAATAAAAATCAAAGAAAACTCAGATGAGTGTGTATACATAAACATGTACATGCATGTGTAGTGTGACCTAAGTGTAAGTAAAAGTAGCAAGATACACCTGTTATCTTGCATGTTTATGAGACAGAAAAAAGACACCATCCCTCCAACCATCACGTAAAACAAATACAGGTTTCTGTCAATCACTCATTTGGTAGGATAGTAGTACCTCCCTGGGTGGTTGCTGTCTACCAACCCATTTCTGCTAAAGAAGAGGTTTGGGATATTGGCTGTTTGGAGTGACATCTAAACTGTCGTATCTGAGCACCTCTGCAAAGACAGTGATTATTTATGAATGATGATAAAAAAATTTTCTTTCTTTTTGTTTTGGGTGTTTTCTTTCTTTTTGGGTCACCCTGCCTCGGTGGGAAATGGCTGACGTGTTAAAAAAAAAAGTGCCAGTTTGCCAATTTTATTAGACAAATTGGGAACACTGCAAAACTGTTCTGGATTACATTCAGTAATTCGTGACTGCATCATCAAACTGGTTTCAAGCCTTCAACACTAACATGAGAATGCAGCATCTAAGCAGCTTCAAACTTAAAGTGCCGATATATTTTTGAATACATGTATTGGTCTCTGTGTGATAACTAGAGAATACCTCTTTTGATTGGCATTAAACTTTCAAAGCTGGCATACCTTAGTGGAAGGGTTGAAATAGTTTTGAGTTTATAGGTGCCAACTTAACATTTATTTTAAGAAAATTAGGATTTTAGTTACCATATGATAACTTCTGAATGCTTCTGACTGGCTTCAAATCTTCATTGTTAATATGTATTTAACTACATTAGAAACTTACGCCGCACTATAATCCATTTGTATGCATTGAGGGGATATGGAGATACCTTTCTCAGATTGCAGTGACTGAAATACATCTAGTCTACCTTTTTTTTCAAGATACCGATTTGTATATACTGTATGTAGAAATAAACGGCTCAGTATTTTTTGTAATTTTAAATACATACATATTCTAAAAGATGGCTCTATTTTTCAGGGGCACCACCTACTTGGCTGGGTAAATGGTGCCACAAAGCTGCAGTACTTGTGGAAGAAACTGATGGAAGAGCATAGTCAAGGAAAGTCAAAATCATCTAGCAATTATAACGGTAATTCATTTACACACTTATACACAGCTTTGCTAGAACCTTTAATTATTCAAGTTTTCCTATACTTGATATTCCACTTGCTTTGATGTTGATATAATTTCTAAAATCATTCTATCTTCAGGCACCTAGTGGTATGTACTGACTTCTGAAAGAGCATGCCACACCTCCTAAATACAGAAAACCCTCTTAAAACACTGATTCACATAGCACAACTTTGTTTCAATGTGGCTGAAAAAATGCAGTCAAGAATTTTGATAGTACACAAAAATCTTGATATTACATGTGGCCTTGCACCACAGCCAGGTCTAGACACTCACACCTCCATTGTTGGAGTTCATAGGTTCAAACTTATAGTGTTATATATTTGTATTATGGTACATTCTTTAAATTTATAGCAATTATAGTAATGCCAAATTTGGAAAGTACTCTCTGCAAGTTATTACATGATGCTCACTGGTGGCCATGTTGAATGAGAGCAAGTCAAGCCCAGTAGACAATATACAGATCACAATCTTTGGCCCTAATTCTCAATTAGAACTGTGCTCACAATTTTCATACCTGGAGGCATTATGGGGGTCAGTACCCCCCAGGGCCCAGGGGCTGTGGGGCCATTTTTTTGAAATATACCTCTTAGATATTTGAATTCATACTCGATAACTTTTTATGCTCTAAAAACACTTACAAGACAAACTCTTAACTCATTACTTCAACTATCAGCCAGTAGGGCTTAAACTATTAGTAAACTAACAGCAGTAGGATCTGTAAAACTAGTAAAATAACAGCCAGTTAATAGTTATTACACCAGCTACCAGTATGACATATATAGATAGTAAGCTAAGAGCCAGTAGAACTTGCATAGTAAAATAAAGAGCCAGAAAGACATATATAGTTCAAACCGTAACAGCTCATACAACTTATGTAGTTAGTAAACTAACAGCAAGTAATAATAATAATAATCTGTATTTCTACAAGTACATGTACAAGGTATACAGGCCAAACTGACATCAATGACATACTACTTCATGTATATAGAAAGCCCCTTGTTATGCAGAACATTTTGAGCAAAGTAGGTCAATTTTGTCCCCAGGATGAGACCCACACTAGTCGACTAACACGCAGGTACTCATTTTACTGATAAATGAACATTGGACAGCATGTGTCTTAAGGAAATACATCCTAATGTTTCCAGCCTTACCAGGGATCAGCCCCCAGACAGCATGTGAGCCAAGTGCATTAGCATTGAGCTACGGGACATCTTAAGACCTATGTAGTTAATAACCTTAAAGCCAGTTAGTAAACTAAGAATCAGTAAGTAAACTAATAGCAAGTAGGACCTATATTGTTACTGAACTATGAGATGATAGGACCTATATATACAGTGGTACCCCAAGTTTCGAACTTTCTTCATTCCAGAAGGCTGTTCGAGTGCCGTTACCGAACAAATTTGTTCCCATAAGGAATAATGTAAATTAAATTAGTCTGTTTCAGACCCCCAAAAATACACTTACAAAAGCACTTGCAATAATACACTTGCATAATTGGTCGAGTTGGGAGCAGTTCGAAACTTGGGGTAGCACTGCATATAGTTAATAAGCTAATAGCCAGTAGGACCTATATAGTTAGTAAACTAATAAACAGTAGTGTATATTTTTTTTTGTCAACAAACTGGCCATATCCCACCAAGGCAGGGTGGCCCAAAGAGAAAAACTAAAGTTTCTCTTTTTAAATTTAGTAATTTATACAGGAGAAGGGGTTACTAGGCCCTTGCTCCCGGCATTTTAGTCACCTCTTACAACACGCATGGCTTATGGAGGAAGAATTTTGTTCCACTTCCCCATGAGATAAGAGGAAATAAACAAGAACAAGAACTAGAAAGAAAATAGAAGGAAGCCCAGAGGGGTGTATATATATATCCTTGTACATGTATGTGTAGTGTGACCTAAGTGTAAGTAGAAGTAGCAAGACGTACCTGAAATCTTGCATGTTTAAGAGACAGAAAAAAGACACCAGCAATCCTACCATCATGTAAAACAATTACAGGATTCCGTTTTACACTCACTTTTACCTCCCTGGGCGGTTGCTGTCTACCAACCTACTACCTACAAGTAGTGTATATATGGTTAATGAACAGTTAGCAGGACCAATATAGTTAGTGAACTAACAACTACACAGTTGTAGAACCTATGTACTATAATTAGTCAACTAATAGCTAGGTGAACCTTATATAATTAGTAAACAGCTGCTACAATCTGTGGTGTGTAGTTAGTATTTTTTTATTACAGCCTCTCCTCACTTAGCGACATACTCGTTTACCAACGCCTTGGACCTACGACGGGCTCTCTGACCAGTATGCATGCCTAAATAATGTATATTAGAGCTGATTTCCTCTATTCTGTTTATTATGATATACAGTATACTACTGTATAAACATTTAAAAATATACCAGAAATGTTATAAATGGTGTAAAGGGTGACATTAAAACCATATCAAAGATAGTTGACACAAACCTACTACCATTATAATATGCTCCTCACTTTGCGACAAATTCATTTACCGACATGGTCTTAGGAATGGAACTCCATTGTTATGTGAGGAGAGGCTTTATTATAAATACCAGTTTTATATATCATAGCTTTTAAACCAATAACAGAAGACAGCAGCCAGCAAGAAGTGTGGGAGCACATCTGGACAGCAGCAAAGATGATGGGTGTGCTGGAGGAGATTTCAGAGAGCGCTAAAGTAGTGGTGGTGGTCACAAAGCGTGTGCAGGGGTACTGGAATCTGCTGCAGGTCAGTTCAACACATTATAAAGTTCCTTTTTTTTCACTTACCATAATAAATGTAATTAGTATAATGTTTTTATGAATTTATTTATTAATTACACTTTGAATTTTCTGAGGATTTTTGATCAAGTGGATATGTGGATATTAATCATAAAACAGCTTAGGTTGATGGAGGGTTGTAGCATGGTTTACAGTATAGTCTATAGGCAAGTTAAGCTTGGCAGCTTTATTATGCACCTTATACATATCTCATGGGAATTAAAAAGATGCAGGGACTTAAACTGTTGAGGAAATAATGAGCGGAATGTTCCTACAACATGAGGGATGGGAGGTAATCACATTTGATCTGAGGAAGGGGTTCAAGCTCCAACTGTTTGGATCAACAGCTCTTCCCCAGCAACAAGGAACCTACCCTAGACTGCAATTATACTTGAATTATATGGTGGAGCTGGACGAGGCTTTGCTATGATGATTTTTGCATCATAGCAAAAATCAACTTTTTGTAGTTGTTTTAAAAGAAATCAATGCATTAGAGGATAGAATTATAGATTCATGCAAAAAATGAAGAAATGTTTAACACACCTATTTAAACAACTGTGTATAAGATGGCTAGTGGTAATAAATGCATTTTTTTTTTACAGAAACTCTGGGAATTGGTGGCAGAAAATCAAGGGAAGTGCAGTGTACCCTACCAGTTGTCTACCTTTATTGAGGAACTTGCATCACAACTCAAAATATTCTTGCCTTCACAAACCTAATATCTTAAAAATTAAATTGCAGTTTTCCTGAACTGAAAATAAAACAGAACAAAACACCAATCTGGGATTTGAGTAAAGAGGAAATAATATACTAATTTGGCAGTGGTGCTGAAGGCAAGTGTGTGGGGGAGGTGGTCCTGCAGAATTTTTTAACCCTCTAACTGTCCAAACGTAGATCTACGTTTGCTTGCGAAGTGCTCCGAATGTAGATCTACGTTTTTTACATTCTTTCTTAGGGAGAAAATCAAGATTGGAGCACTACATTTGGACAGTTTAAGGGTTAAATAATGCTTCTAGAATGAAGTTGGTAATATTTCCAACGGTAAATTATTTGCTAAATTGATCTTTGTGTTACAGCAAAACCAGAATGAAGTTCTGAATATTCAATAATAAGAATTTCATAGCTTATAAAATTTATTAATATAGTTATTTCATAGTTCAGAATACAGGTTACAGTTAAGGGTTAACATCACACAGAATGAACCCTCTACTAAACTAAAAGATAGCTATATCGCCAGTGCACCCTCTGTATTAAAATATTTGTTGCCAAACCAGTGTAGCCAAATAAAAAAAATAAAGATACATGTGAATCACTTGGATATCTTTATTCCAAGATATTTTGCCTGCACAACAGGCTTCTTCAGTTAAATACAGGAGAATATAACACTAGAGACATTACATAAGAACATAAGAAAGAAGGAACACTGCAACAGGCCTACTGACCCATGCGGAGCAGGTCCATGTCCCCCCCCCCTCTGGATTAGCCCAATGGCCCACCCAGTCTGGTCACCTCCACTCAAGGAAGGAGCACGGCACCAGACCCAGCAGCACAAACTAGTCCGGTCAAACTCACACCCACTCATGTATTTATCTAACCTATTTTTAAAACTACACAACGTTTTAGCCTCAATAACTGTACTCGTGAGTTTGTTCCACTTATCCAGTAGTAGTAGAAGTAGTAGTTTTGACATGATCAGCCTTGGTGAACCACACTGGATGCTGGTGTGGTTAGCCTTAAAAGCACGGGCAAGTAAGCCTACTACAACACTCCTCTTATGCAATGCATAGTATTTTACAGAAATACCTTTTAAATATGCTTTATCAAGTTTCTGTGGGGCATTATGAATCTGTTAGTTGCATTATTATCAAGCAATTCATTTAGTAATTCCTTCAATAATTTTTTGGGTTTTTAATGTTTTATCAAGATGGCTTCTTCAATGAAATGTTTAATAAATTAAATTCCAATCTCGTTTGATGTTTCTCCAATAATGTTGATAAACTGTACAAATGAGATAAATGAATGATAGTTTATTGTAGATAAACACCATATTATGGAAATGGCTTAAAATATAAAATCCTGCGTAGGATGTAGATTGGTAAAATCTTAAAAGTATCTGATAATGAGAAACTTTTATAAGTAATAAAGTACTGTCAAACAGTGGCATAAGTGAAGTACAGCAACAATGTTGGCAAACTTTAGGATAGCCTTTTAAGTTTTCTGTGCAAATAAATTCAGTTTTAGCCTTTTCCTTCTGTGTGACTGACCTGCCTCTATGATGTAATTTGACCTCTTCCCCCTGTGTGACCTCTTCTTCCTGTTCAACTTTAGTACAAAAATCTGTGTAATCTCACAATCACAGTTCAACACCTTGTAAAGGTTCAAACCATGATGAGAACCTTCATAGTGGTCTGTGATGATACAGGTTATGTTGTGTAAAGCCGAGATTGCACAGTAATTGTCTTGAACAATGAACTACATGAAAATTATTTTTAATTCCGCAACATCCTCACTCCTTTAGAGGAGTGCAGGTACTGTACCTCCCACCTCCAGCTCGCTATTTTATTTCAAAGGAGGCCTGGTCACAGACCGGGCCGCGGGGGCGTTGACCCCCGGAACTCTCTCCAGGTAAACTCCAGGTATAAAGATTACAATGTTGAATTTACAGAATTTGGTTGTTGTGTGGTTTACATGTAGTTAAATAATGATTACAGAGTGTACCACTAGAACGCCTAGCATGGCTAGGCATTTCGGGCAGACTTAGTTTAATTCTTTATTTTAAAATATTACAAATTATGAGGTAAGTTGGTATTATGGCTAAGTGACTAAATACTAGTTTGTGAGTTTAGCAATGTGAATGCTTTTGTTTTGGCACAGTACATAGTTTCAGTATTGGAGTATCATAGGATTCATTATTTTAAGATTGAGATTAATATTTCTGTTTATGGTCAAATGGGTGAGTGAGTGTAAGTGTGAACCACCAGGTGGTATTCGTGTAGTTAGTTGATGGGGTGTATCAGGGAGATAAGATGTTTTCTGATGGTAGTTTTGAAGGTGATGAATGTGTCTGCAGTTTTGGAATTTTCAGGTAGGGTGTTCCAGATTTTAGGGCCTTTGACATACATTGAATTTTTGTAAAGGTTTAGTCGGACACGGGGAATGTCGTAGAGATGTTTGTGTCTGGTGTTATGCCTGTGGGTTCTGTCACAACTATCAAGAAAGCGTTTTAGGTCAAGGTTGATATTGGAGTTTAAGGTCCTGTAGATGTAGATTGCACAGTAGTAAGTGTGGATGTACTGAACAGGCAGTAAGTTTAGATCTATGAAGAGTCGGGGGGTGTGTTGCCAGGGATGGGATTTAGTGATTATTCTTACTGCAGCTTTTTGTTGGGTTATTATTGGCTTTAGGTGTGTTGCTGCAGTTGATCCCCAAGCACAAATAGCATAGGTGAGGTATGGATATATAAGTGAATGGTATAGTGTGATAAGGGCAGTTTGCGGCACGTAGTATCGTATCTTGGAGAGGATCCCAACCGTTTTGGATACTTTTTTGGTTATGTGTTGGATATGGGTGCTGAAATTCAGGTTGTTGTCAAGGTATAGGCCTAGGAATTTGCCCTCATTATGTCTGGTAATTAGAGTGTTGTCGATCTTAATGTTAATTTGTGCATTCTCCTGCTCTGCTACCAAACATAATATAGTAGGTTTTGTCAGTGTTAAGCGTAAGTTTATTGGCTGTCATCCAAGTCGACATTTTGATCAGCTCCTCGTTAACAATGGTGTTGAGGGTGGCAAGATTAGGGTGAGAGATGACATAAGTCGTGTCGTCAGCAAAGAGAATGGGGTTCAGGTGTTGGGATACGTTTGGAAGATCATTGATGTATATGAGGAAGAGCAGGGGACCAAGGACACTTCCCTGCGGAACTCCAGTATCAAGTGGCCGTGTTGTTGATGCTGTGTCTTTAATGGTGACATACTGATACCTATTAGTAAGGTAAGATTTGAAATAAGCAAGCGCATGGCCTCTTATACTGTAATGGTCAAGTTTGTGGAGTAGGATGTCGTGGTCTACTGTGTCAAAAGCTTTTCTTAGGTCAATAAAAATTCCTAGTGGATATTCCTTATTTTCCAATGCTGTGTAAAGCAGATCTAGCATTTTATGATTGCATCATTAGTGCTTTTATTTTTCCTGAATCCAAATTGGCAGGGGTTGAGTATGTTTTGTGTTGTTATAAATGAATATAGTCTCCTGTGCACGAGTTTCTCAGATTTTGGATAGCAATGGTAAGTTTGATATTGGCCTATAGTTGTTTAAGTCTGTAGGGTCACCACCTTTATGTATTGGTGTAACCCTTGCCATCTTGAGTAGTTTCGGGAAGGTGCTAGTTTCTAGTGACTTGTTAAAAAGTAATGAAATAGCATGCGAAAGGATATGGGCCGCTCGCTTGTACAGTAATGGTGGGACATTAGACAGATTCCCTGAGTTGTTTTTAAGTGACTTTATAATCTCGGTGACTTCCGAGGGCTCAGTTGGTGCAAGATAGAAGGAATTTGGGAAATTCCCATCTAGGTAGTCCCCGGCATGGGCATTGGTATGTGGGATTTTATTGGTGAGATTAGATCCTATGGTTGAGAAGAAGTCGTTTATCTTGTTAGCTGTGTCAGTGGGATGTAGTGGTGTTTCATTAGGTTTAGTTAGGACAATATTCTTGGTTTTTTTCAGTTTGTGGGTCCCTAGAATCTGAGAGAGTGTTTTCCAGGTCTTTTTTATATCTCCTCTAGTGTCTGTGAATCTACTGGAGTAGTATAGTTGTTTGGCTTTCTTTATTACTTTGGTGAGAACTGATGAATAGTGTTTAAGAATATCTTTGTGTATTAAGCCCTGTCTATATTGCTTTTCATATTGGTGTTTCTTGTCAATGGATTTCAGAATGGTGCTGGTTAGCCATGGGCAACCAAGCCGTTTGTTTGTGATCTGTTTCATTAATTACATTTTTGGTTGAAAAAAAAAAGCATTAGATCTTCATTTAATTTAGTTACTGATTATAACCATGAAGTACAGACTTTAGAACATACCTTTGCTAATACTGTATTTGGACCATGCTAATATCTGGAAGATTTTCTGACATTTCTGGATCCAGTCTTCAGCTTCTTCATTATGATCAGCATCACAGATTGCAGTTGCATCTTTCCTTTCTCTCCTTCCTTCTTTGCTATTTTGTTCTCCTGTCCCAGGAGCTCAACTGATACTTTGTTCTTCTGCCCAAAACCATTTAATGCTACTTGGAGTTATTGATGCTGAGCCTTGAGTCCTTCAGCTGCTCCAGATACTTGTCTAGTTGGGACAGAATCTCTCCACAATCAGTGATGAAGCTACTAACACTGCTCTTCTGCTCCTCAACCTGGGATTGCAGTTTCTTGCCAATGCCTCTTGAGCAGTCTTGTTAAGGCATTGCTGATGTATCTTTTGTTACTGTGAATTTCAAGTCTTTGTTTCCTTAAAAATCCTTCTGTAATGTAAGAAATTGGGAACTGAGTAACAGATAATGCAATGTGCTCAATATGGCAGGTGGGACAGAATAGTTTAGAGTCCTTAATCATTTTCATAATGAATGGTGAGCAAAACATAAGTCCACATGGTAAATTACAAGGTCGTCGAACATCACTAAGATGTCAAGACATATTTTACATTCTTCAGGATTTTTCCATTTCCTGTGGAATTGGAAAATAAATGAACCATGAGTCCAATTACCTATTTTACATACCTCAAGGATCACTCTTTGTTTATGAACAAAAGGCAGTGCAATGTAATGAAGATGTACTGCTGATGCTCTGCTGGAACAAATCCTGAGAAAATCTAAAGAAATTAAAATGCATAATGTATTAAAGCTTATAACTGTAACATGCCAAAATATGTTGTAAACACACTAAAACAAGCGACTAGTTGCTCTCAAGTTACTCACACAAGAACTGAAATGTGATACTTAAACTGTGTTTCCCCTCAAGGAAGGTTCCTTGATGTTGGTGAGGGGCTCTTGATTTAGGAAATTGGATCTGTGCTCCAGTTCCCCGAATTAAGCCTGAATGCCTTCCACATCCCCCCCCCAGGCGCTGTATAATCCTCCGGGTTTAGCGCTTCCCCTTGATTATAATAATAATTAAACTGTGTTTACTGAAGTGAAGACAAGAAAAAAGTAACATAATTTACTTCTAGAAAATATAAGGACTGGTATCAAATCTTCATAATGAAACACTGACCTGTATCTATTTATGAGAAAAGAAGGTATGGTAGGCAGTGAAAAATATAGAGTAGCTCCAGTGTAAAGGCTAAGAATTAACTAAAGTTAACAAATAAATTAAGGATACAATAAAACTTCATGATGATTTTTGGCATTAATGTTGTTGTCAAAAAAAAATGCAAATGCAGTTCAGTGTGAACAAGTGTAAAGTCCTAATCATCAGAAATAAAAATAAACCGGGAATCCATGGCTAGTCATCAGAAATCATCAAAAATAAAAATAACCCTGGCACCCATGGCTAGTCTGTAGAAATCCTAGTCGAAGGTAGCAGAACCGAGGTGTCTGTAATGAGGAACATTATTATTATAATCAAAGGGGAGCGCTAAACCCGTAGGATTATACAGCGCCTGTGGGGGATGTGGAAGGTATTCGGGTTTAATTCAGGGAACTCGAGCACAGATCAAATTCCCTAGATCAAGAGCCCCTCACCAGCATCAAGGAACCTTCCTAGAGGGATAATAAGGAACAACTTTGATTTATATACATTATTTCAAGAAGTATTGTATAAGTAACAGAAGTTTCCATGTTACAGTATTGCAACTGGTAAAGTTTTAATTGGAATGTGTAATTACAGTGAAATCATGGGTTACTTCCAAATACTTGAATCAAGAGCCCCTTACCAACATCATGTAACCTCCCTTGTGGTCCCGTCATACAGTGCCACACAATTCAGTTATATATATTATATTTTTTGGGGGGGGGGTTAATATATAAAAAATATAGACAACATACCATTGGAAATAAGTCACTCGGACTTTTTTTTTGGGTTATCCTAGGTTCTCTACTCATACGCTGCTACGTATGATAATCTGTAATTGTATTATTGTTAACCTGAATAAACTTGCTGACTTACCCTGAAGACTGCCACTTGTTTTAAGCACAAGCTTTACAAATAATATCTTCTTCTCCTTCAGGATACTTGCAGTTTGCTTAGAGGTAAATCAATATTAACTGGGTTCAAGCAGTTGTATTAGGCCTAGAAAATACTGCAACATACAGTTTGTGTTAATTATGAACCCGCGGAATGACGTGACGTCACTACCACCACTGTTGCCAACTCAAATAATTTATTACTGCTAAATATACACTTAAATTTTTTTTAGAAAATCTTTAGATCCAAGGAAAATTTGACTCTTCTTTTGATAATTAATAAATAATGATTTTTATTTCCATAAAACAAACAAAACAATCCTGCAAGACTCCATTATGCAGGATCGTTTTCAGGTCATACTTCATCAATGTGAAAATTTGTGTGGACTGCCTCCAAGTGAGTCGCCTACCCTGGCAAACTCTGTTGACACCGAGCTCTGAGGTGGGTACCTCAGCCTCACAAGTGGCTTATAGGACAGATTTTCACAAATGATGTTGCAAGAAACTCGCCTGCATGCACGTATAAAGGACTAACTTACTTGGTGTTGCAGCATATATCCTGATCTTCAACTTCCCTAAGCTTAGCCTTAGCCCCTTTGGACTTCCCCTCAGAAACCACGTGCAACCGGGAGCCTTAATTCCTGCAAAATTCAATCGTTATTAGTGACCTGCCTGCACCTCAGAAATTCCTATATCCAAGAGGGTATGTATCCCCTAGTATAACTATGCAGACATGGACACTAGCTTCCAGACTGCCAAGAGACACTGGTACTTACTGGGCATGCACTGCCTGCTGCACACTGGGCCCACAGATCAAACTCACTCACAATTCTCCCCAGACATTGGCCAGAAATCTACGAGATAAAGCGGAGGTCTTGTCTTACTGTATGGGCCTGACGGAGGTCATCTACGGTATGTCGAGGTGCCTCTACCAGATTTCCCTAGGTCTCAAATGTGAAGACACGTGGGGGCGCCGTCTGCTGATCACGGCATGTCTTGTCCAGTTGGTGTCTGTCTTAAGAAGAACGAGCTGGTCTCTCTTCCAGACCCTCGTCTCTTCGTTCAAACTAGGGCTGCCAGTTCTCCCTAGCTAACTTAACCTAGTGTTTGCCTACATTATCGGCCTATTACTACCTATGTTAAGGTCTTAGGTCTACATTATTATTATCTACAGTTGCCTCAATGATCCTAATATTAGTGTACTACCAGTAAACCTACCTACTCCTTCCCTGAAGGGTAAATCTATAAATAAATAAGCTTACCAACCACGCCAACTCGGGGAAAACGCTTTTTGTTTGGGTGGGTTTAAGGGCCACCCAGCTCAACCGTTCCATTACGGCTATGCTGGGACCCCTTCGTACGCCGTATCTGTCCTGTGGAACTTTAGGGACCAAATAAATTTCCACAATCACATAGGATGGTTTTCCGGCCATGTTCCATTACTTCACCAGTAACCCGCCGAGGAATTCCTTCCAGCCCACCACTGTGTCTACAAATGTAGGAAAAAAACAGTGTCTCCAATTTAAGAAATAAATAATTTTGTTTTGATTATATCCTAGGTAGGAGAAGGTGTTGGGCAGTGGCAGTCACAGCAGCAAGACCTGCCGGCAATGCATGATGTACTTAATATAACCACCGAGATTTGGTATGATAATTGCACTTATGTGCACCTGTACCTAAATAAACTTACTTAATATATCGGTGCCCTGTGGCCTGGTGGCTAAAGCTCTCGCTTCACACGGCAAGGTCTGGGTTCGATTCCCAGCGAGGGTAGAAACATTAGGTATGTATCTTTACACGGGTTGTCTATATTCACTGTCAGTAAAATGGGAACCTGGGTGTTAGTCGACTGGTGTGGGTCGCATCCTGGGACAAAACTGACTTAATTTGCCCGAAATGCTCTGCATAACAAGCTGCTTTCTGTATAGTAGTAGTTTGACATTGACGTCAGCTAGGCCTGTATACCTTGTACATGTACTTGAAGAAATAAAGATATTTCTTTGGTTTTCTCCTCTGTTAAAAATCTGAGACACCACTCCCACGAGCCCTCTTAGGGCAGGGAAGGTGCCAGAGCTAGAGCTTGTTACCAGATGCAGCTCACAAAACTGCCATTCCCACGAGCCTCCAGTGGGGCGGGGAAGATGGCAGATCAGAGGCCTAGGTTCTCCTTACTAGCCCCGTGAGGGCGGGCAATTGGGCTAGGCTTGGGAACAGTTGGTCTCAGGCGATGAGGAGGTACTTGTACCACCTCCCATGGAAGACATAGGTCTCAAGATATTCCCAAGACAGGGAGCCAAGGCCAGGTCAGCATCTGGAAAAGACCCGGGCCAGGAGAATACCAACAAATCAAGAACAACAACAATCTTTTGTTAACCCAAGGGATTCGAAGACTAACCCAAAAGGGGTCTTTCAGGTATACAGAAGTAAGATTAGGAACAAGATAGGCCCACTTAAGAGTAACTCAGGTCAGATCACTGACAGTGATAAGGATATGTGTGAAATTTTCAATTCTTACTTCCTCCCAGTTTTTACTCAGGAAGATACTAGCGTAATTCCAGAAATAATAGATTATGTAGAACAGGACGATAATAAACTATGCACGATTGCGGGAAATAGTGACATGGTCCTCAGACAGATATTAAAACCTGGAGTTTACCTGGAGGGAGTTCCGGGGGTCAACGCCCCCGTGGCCTGGTCTGTGACCAGGTCTCATGGTGGAACAGGGCCTGATCAACCAGGTTGTTACTGCTGGCTGCACGCAATCCAACGTACGAGCCACAGCCCGGCTGGTCAGGTACCGACTTTAGGTGCCTGTCTAGTGCCTGCTTGAAGACAGCCAGGGGTCTATTGGTAATCCCCCTTATGTATGCTGGGAGGCAGTTGAACAGTCTTGGGCCCCTGACACTTGGTAAGTTTATAGGTACAGGTACACCTAAGTACAATTATCACACACATTGTAAATTACCTAGGATAACCCACGAAAAAGTCAGAGACTGACTTTTTTTCCATAGGAATTCTATATATTTTCCCTTTCATCTCATGGTCTCTTTATTTACTTCCGGCTCAGGAGGTGGGTCACTTTACATAGCTGAAGGATATACACACCGAGATGTATATTTCTCGTAGTTTATATATGTTTCGAGTTTGAGTTAATCCCTCTTTTAGGAATTCAGATATTTTTTCACTGGTGTTGAACAGATGTACGCAGCCTTGATGACCCTCGTTTAGACGATGGATTTTAAACTATATAAACCAACCGACCTTCATCTACTTGGCAACTGTTAAGTATCTTCTAGTCATGTGTGAGCTTGATTTTTCAATTTGTTACTTAGTTAATGTGATTATTTTCTCATACTGACTTCATTTTGGCGGTGACAATTATTTGGTTCGCCTTGCCTTGTGGCCAGCAGCGTACATTTAGTTATGTGCATGGGATAACCTCGGAGTAGCTTGTCTTACTTCAGCTACCACAGTGTGATCCACATTATTAAACATTTTCACTTTAAACTGGCAAAAGTTTGTGGTCCGCGAAGCTTATCTAGGCAGGTTAAGCCGGTGATGTTAACTGTAAAGTTTGTCCAAGCTTAGCTGGTGACGACCCACCAGTCAAAAAATAAGCAGATTAAGTAATTTTATAAAACCATCGTTTTTTTCACCTCAGCTTTCTCTTCTTTCAACTTATCCTTCTCTTCTGCTTTATTCTTTTTCATCTACTCCTCTATTCTTCTATTTCTCTCCATATCCTTCTCCTCTACTACCTCTTTATTCCCCCTCTCCTCTTCCCATCCTTATACTCCTCTTCTTTGCCCATCTCTTGATTCTTTTCTTGCTCTTATCTTGTTCATCTTTCTTCCAGTTGAACTTTAAATAACGCTTACAACACTGGAAGGAAAAATATTTTGTTTCCGATAATCAGCAACAGTAAAATGTCTATGACTAGTCGCTCCGTCAAGGGGCCTTCACCTGGAGGCCCCTATGTTTTAGGCCAGCAACGGATCTTCACCTAGGGGCCCCTATGTTTTTGACCGGCAAGGGACTCTCACCTAGGGGCCACTATGTATATGGCTTCGTCCGAGGAGGGCCAAAGGCTTCAACTCAGGGGCCTCAACTTTTCTGCCTGCTACGTCAGCGTGCTACTACTTCGGGCATCACTACATCCCTCACCGCCCCCGCCCAGCCCCTCCCTTCTCTTCCCTTCCCTGATGTAGTGTCGGGGAGCGATTAATGAGAACCCAATACTTGGATTATCGAAGGTGCTTTAAAGCAGGATACAGACAAGCTGGCTCTACTTTAAATGCAAATGTGAATGCCAGAATTGAACTTGAGCCATCGGGGGTCTGTCATCCCTCCCTCTAAAGTGTAAAAGACTGGGACCTCTGCAAACCTACACTTGTGGTCATTTATACTATCTTGGAGTATCTTAAAAACTACTATTACTAATACTGACAATTCTTCAACAGCAACTACTACAGTAACAACAGCAATAGTGATTATAATAAAAATAGACTTTATTGACTAATAAATCCCAGTACAAATAAGGGAGGCTACAATATTGAAAATTGATGTTTCTGGCCTGAACTTTGGAAAGCCCGCTCTTTGTATCCATTACTGTCTGTTGTATCTTTTATAGATGTGAGGAGCAATATGTTATTGTTTCTGTATTGCTTTTGTTTCATTACACTTTTTGTCTTTGTTAGAGTCGACGGAACTTGCAAGATTTGTAGCCGTATGGGGTTATGATCGTAGCCTAAGTGTTGTACTCGCCTGATTGTCCACTTGGATTGAACTCTAGCTCTTGGGACCCCGTCTTTACACATTTCGATCAACTTGCTTCCGCTCTTTTGGGTTATGTCATATTATTTTTTTTAATCCATGTATTGAGCTGACTTCCACTACAACCCTTCCTAATGCATTTCATCCGTTCCCTGTCATCGCAAGGAGTTTCTCTCTCTCTCTCTCTCTCTCTCTCTCTCTCTCTCTCTCTCTCTCTCTCTCTCTCTCTCTCTCTCTCTCTCTCTCTCTCTCTCTCTCTCTCTCTTTACGCAGGGTTTGACAAGGTTAGGTTAAGGATCTCCCTCTCTCTCTCTTTTGTCCCTTTAGCTCAACTAACCTTACAGTTATTATTCGTTTCCTCCTGTCTCGAGTCTGTTAACTTTATCGTGAATCCCTTTTCAGATTTCTGAAAGCTATAATTATATTTACAAACTTTGCATATGATGTTGCTGTTATTATGTTTGTAAGCTTTATGAAAGGGATTTGGTGTGAACGAAATATGTACCTAGTTCCTTTTTTCTCATTTCTATGAGTTGCCTTTTTCTTAGGTAATGTACTCTGCTCTTGGGTTCATATC